ATAATTTTGTTCTGAATCGCATGCTGCGAACTTCCTTCGAGCTCCAGATCTTTTTAAAGAGGTTTCACTCTAAAAGTCCTAGAAATTCAATAATCGACAAATATTCAAATATCGAACGTAACTTTTGGACGTATATAAGTAAAATTTAGCTTTAATATATAATAAATATAAATATAAAGGGGCAAAAAATTTGTATATAAATCGTATTTTTAAAGACTAATTATTTTATTCTGAAATCGCCGAGTTGTATAGATTAGAGGCATGGTATTAAATAATTCGCTAATTCGTTTACATTGCTCGATATCTGACGCTACAAAGTCAGCCGGCAAAACGAAGAACACCACTGCAACCACAAGTCCTATAAAAAATTCGCATCTTTATAAATTATATTATAAGTCTCTGGTGTTCTGAACCTTCGATCGTTGGTCGAGTAATGCAGGTGCTATGAAATGTCCAGTCTCACGCTTAAGGATATATCAGGTGTATAGTCTCTACAAAAAATTATTGGAATTGGAAGTATTTACTTTCCAAAAAAAAATGTATTATATACATATGAAACAGTTCACAATAAGGCCAATATTTATATTTGACAATACAATTTTATAATTTAAATGAAAAATTTCTCATTTTTTAAAAACATCTACTTATTGAAATCATTTTTGATCTAAATTCTAAACTGTCAAATTTTTCGAATTACTTTTTTGTATTACTTTAAAGTATAATATAGAAAAAAACTTTATTTTTTCATTTTGTTAAAAAAAAAGTATAATATTATCCTTAAGGATGGAGATCGGTATAATTGCGATAATTCCTCTTATTGAAATTACAATACAATACACATTGAAATTACGATATCAATTTCTGATCTATATATGCCTGTCGTAATATTTTGATCTAGGAAAGCTTTATTTTTAACTATAAATTTATCGGATATTTAGTTCTGTATCTTTATTTTTGTTATTATTATGTGAGAATTGAAATTTTAGTATCATATATCCGCAAAAGAAAATCACAGTATATATGATCTAATTATCGATAT